GCCCTGTGTGAGATGAACAAGTTCAATGCCATGATGAGCTGCTTGCCGGGCTGTCACCGCAGGTTAGAATTTCGTTGGCCTTTGCAGTGGACACCAAGATCCGTTCTAATTGTAATCGCCGAGTGAAGGAGCACACCCCTCATCCGAATTCTGTGGCAAGGACACTTGGCTTCACTAGAGAAGCACTTCTCCCACCTCGTCATCGCCGACTCTCACTTCAAGGCCCCCTGCATTCTGCATCCAAGCACAGGTTGGCATCTACAATAAACTTGAGACCCATGGCAGGTCTTCCGCTGTTGGGCAGCCCACTACCTCCTCGTGGTGACAGTGGACACATGCGAGCTCGATGTGACGAACAGTGGGACAGAGGACTATAGGACGGGTTTTGCTTTGAATGTGAGGACTGTTAAAGCAGGGGAGGCCACCATTTGTGAGCTCCATGGTGACCATGCAAATTCTGATGAAAGCGAGTCGTTCTACTACGTGTCGCTCTTCCTTGGGTTTGCTGGGGTTTCATGGCTTCTTGCCATTGTTTGCAAAGTGCGGAGACTTATTGGTTTTGCGGGACAACGAGTAGGTGAGGCCTCCAATCCGGGGCCGAAATCTGACAATGGACAAGTTGCAATGCTCATTTCGCTTGTGCAAATGCTCATTCAAATGGTCGCGAAGCTGTCTGGAAGTGAAGATGTTCGGAATCTTGTGTCACAGGCTGAGACGGCAGTGCAAAATTTGCAAAGCCCGCCGAATGCTCCTGAACAGCCGACTCCGAGACGGGTCACGGTTGAGAATGAGTGGCAAACGGTTGGCAATAGGAGGCGAGGAAAAGGCAAAGGCAACAAAGCTGAGAAGGCGCCGAGCCCTGGACTTGCAGCGGGAGGTGGATCAAATCAGCACGACAACACTGGCTGGCCTACGGCCAAGGCTGCTGGACGACAGACCGGGAAAGCTGATGGTAAAGCGGGTGGGGGTCGTGGCCAATCAGCCACTGCTTCCAAAGGTAAGGCTGCTGGGAAGGCAGCCACAGGAGGAAAGGCAACCCCACCTTCTCAGATCCTCAAGCATGATGAGTGGGAGCTAAGGCCGGATGATTGGCATGCCAAGCTTGTCACAGCTGATGCTCTCCCTGAGTATACTGGTGCCGGGGAGTCTCTGTTAGTTCATGCAAATAATCAAGAGGAGGCTGAAGTGCTACAGGTTCTTGCATCTGGGCGGAGTTTCCGAAGCTCTGTTCTTATTGTCTGGCGGGATGATGAGGGTAAACTCCAGTTGCCCTTTTGGCAGAAAGGCAGAGCTACACTGCACCGTGTCAATATGCTGAAGTTTACGGTCACGGGAGTTGCGCTTGCCTCCTTAAAGGGTGCGCGCGCGACGCAGAAGGTCAAGGCGGTTCCAACGGTTGTCATCAGAATGGTCTTGGTCCAGGGATTGGCTTCGGCTGCTGATTGGACGCTTGCCAATAAGAATCTCCGTGGATTTGCCATGGGCCGAGCACCGGTGGTCAAGGACCTTTGGGGTGGAGCAGTGGAGCACAAGCGAGGGCCCACGCTTGTTGCGCTTGTGAGGGTGGACAAAACCCAAGTTAAGATGCTGTTGCAGAAGAGTGGCGTTGGTGGCTTGTTCTGGGAGCCTTTGAGCCGTACGGTTGATGAAACCAACTTGGTGGTCAGGTGGATTGATGCCAATGACGGCGAGACGGACGGCGATTACCTTCTGCGCTGTCTGCTTCAGAAGCCCGAGTGGGGGTTGGTCGTAGGTAGGCGCCAGCTTGGTGTCCGAGTTGACCAGCAGCATGAGACTGTTGTGAGACCGTGGCGGCTTTCCCATGTGCCAACGGAGTTGACACAAGATGAGGTTGCAACCATCCTGACGGATGCCGGGCTGGAGCATGTGGTTCTCACTGGGCGCGTTGCGCGCAAAGGAGGGTTCACCTGGTTTGTCAGGGCGGCCTCCAAGCATGACGTTGTAGCCATACCTGTGCAGCAAGGCAATGATGAGACCACGCTCTACTTACTGCCGGCGACACCTTCACGACAAGGGCCGGCCAATCGCGTACCGTTGCCTCGACAAGGCACCAAGCTGGAAGTTGCGCAGTTCAAGGTGGTGCAGAAGCCGGTTGATGCTAGCGCGGATGCCATGGCTACTGGGGACCAAGTGGCGACCAAGCGGTTAGCAGTCAGTTGCCGTGAAGTGCCTGAGGGTACCAAACTCGTGTCTATTGCCCGGGATGGGGATTGTCTTCCAGCTTCCATCTCTCAAGCAATTGCATTCCACAAAGGCTCTGACAAGCCTATGCCGGCTAGCCGCATGAGGGCGGAGGTGATTGCTTACATGAATCGCAAAAAAGAGTTTTATCGGGGGTTCTGGGATAAGAGGGACACGCTTGACGAGGAAGGAGGAGTCCCTGACTTCGATGCTTATTTGCTGCAGGCGGCAATGCCATCCAAATATTGGGGTCATCTGGAGATCGCAGCTGCTGCTGCCCTCTTTAACTTGTCAGTCTTCGTCATTCCGACTGATGCGGCGATTGCTCCCACGAAGCACGGCACAGGCGCATTTCCAGTGGCATTGCAGTTTGACCGAGGGGGTGACAAAATCGGTCATTATGATGTCATCCAGCCTCTGGAAAAAGGAGCCCCCTTGCCTGCGGTCATTACCAACGTTCAGGAGTTCGGCGAAGCACGTGGTGGCAGAGGAGGTGGAGTGGATCCTAAGGGCAATGATCAGAAGGATGGTGGTGCCAGCAACGATGGTGGGACGGGTGATGGCTCGGAAGCTTGGACTATCTACACGGTCAACACGCAGGGCCAGCATGTGCCAGTTGGCCGAGCGGCACTTGGAGGTCGGAGCTCTTCGGCTGCGGCCAGTGCCACGCCAACCAGCGTGCGGCGTGCTTCATTGGCTGCGGCCTTTTCACGCGGAGCTCGCAGCTCTGTGAATGCTGTTGAAGAAGGCATGCCTGATCAGGCGGCGGCTGCTGCGGATATTGCAAATCTCAATGATGTTGATGAGCGACAACTTGAAGAAGGAGGAGGTGCTGCGGCTGCTGAACCCCAGCGTGGAAAACGCCGGTTTGGATGGAGATGCCCCGTTCCTGGTTGTGGTTTTACTTGCTCGGGGAAACAATGGTCCCTTCGGAAAAAATTGCATGTACGTCAGTGGCACCCTGAGCAGCGGCTCCAGCTTTCGCTGAAAGGTCGCACCGAGGAGCCAGTAGAGGTTGCGGATGACATTCCAGTACACTGGCGTTGCCCTGTTTGTTGCAAAGCTTTTCCGAAGACGATGAAGCTTTCATTTGACCAATTGCGGGCTGGTAAGGAGGCACATGGCGCCAAATCGCATCCCACTGAGAATCAGGCCCTCTTTCGACGGAGGTTTCGGCCAGCCACGGGCGTCAATGCTCGCAAGGCCACTGTTGCGGTTCGTGCAGCTGGCTTAGCTTCCAGGCTGTCTCAGATTAAGAGGGGCATTGGTGCACATGCTGATGTTTTCACTGTTGATGTCCCTGCTACTGGTGTCAAGAGGAAGAGTCTCTCATATCTTGTTTGCAGGCGCTGTCGCTATGTCACTCATTCAGCCAAGACCCTTGAGAGCAAGCGTTGTGAGCAGGTTGTAGGGCTTTCGCAGCAGCGCCAAGGGCTACTGAAGAGATTGAGGGCACAGGGTGAGGATGTCAGTATTGATGAGCGCCTCCGTCAGGGGGCTCGTGAGCTTGCTGATTTTCTTGAGCCTGAAGATGCTAGTCAGCAGCAGGGTGAGTCAGCGGAGATGCGTGGCAATCATGATGTTGAGGCTGTCCCATGGCCGCAGGCAGACAGGAGCATCGGCATTCGCTTCATCTGTGGCCGATGCCACCGCATGCATGCCAGGGCGTGCCTTTTCAAGGACGGCACCTGCACTGGCACCATGGCCTTTGCCAAGTTTCGTGAGAGCTGGCTTCGAGAACTCAGGCCGTGGCTTGAGGATACGGGCTATCGGGGCAAGGCAGCTCGCGCTGCAAAACGGAAGCTAGGCATTGAGGACCAAAAGGCGGCTCCTGAGTTCCCGGCTGGGTTGGTTGGTGGTGGTGCAGGCGTGAATCCATGACGATGCCACGTTTGCTACGGGTGGGTACGCTTAATGCGCGCTCCCTGACTGGAAGAGCGCATATGGTGATTGAATTGGCTGGTGAGTGGAAGCTGGATGTGCTTTTGGTACAGGAAACAAGGCTTTCTCGAGATTCCTATGGTGCGCTTCAGAACGTTGCTCGCAAACATGGGTGGGATGTTCATGTTCATACTCAAGGGCGGGATGTCCATGGGGCCACTTGTTGGGGCTGTGTTACTTTCAGTCGCTGGCCTTTGGAGGTGCTTTCTAGTCCTGATTGGCTTCCGGAAGGACGTGGAGGGTTGATGAAGCTCTGGCGTCCACACGCTCGTCCGATGCTCTTGGTCAACCTTTATCTGCCGGCTTCTTCCAAGGCCGAGGCTGCCGAGTTGTTGTCCTTTTTCTTCGAGCACGTGGCGGCGCTGGGTGAGGACTTTCTGCTCATGGGGGATTATAACCTTACTGAGGCGGATTACCCAATTGCTGATGCCCTTGCTTGTGGGGCCCTGAGATCTGCGAATGAGGCAATTCATGGTGATTCTAAGTTCCCGCCGACGCATCGTGCACCCAGCGGGCTTTACCTCAATTGCTTGGATTTCGGACTGCATTCGAAGAACTTGTGTGTCCACTTCAAGCATCAGGTTATCGGACCTGCTGATCATGATCTTGTTTTCTACGATGTCGCACTCCCTGACGGGCCCCTCCCTGATAGGTTTGTGTTGACACCGGCGCGGAAGGTTGTTGAGCAAACGGTTGATGCCGATCAATGGGAGGTCAGCTGGAAACAGCATGATGAAGCTTTCGATGCATTTCTTCAACGAGGTGATTTGGATAATGCTTGGGTTCTCCTCAGCGGCACAGCGGAGGCAGTACTACAAGGAGATGGTCGTGGTCGTCGTCGCGCTCAACCTGCACGGCCTCAGCGAGTGCAGCCTACTTCCACAAAGGCGCCTACGCTTCAGACTGTGTATGAGCGAAAGTGTCGGCGCCTCATGCGCCGTATTGCTGAGGCCATGCTTAGGCACCATGCGTTGGACCATCAGAGACGTTTAGAGCACAAAGTGTGGAGACAGGCTGCTACTGCTGGGTTCCAGGCCACGACGCTTCCTGAACTTTTGCTTGAGGTTACCACGGCAGCCGATCTAGAGGCTGAAGCGTGCAACCGGCAGCGCATTGAGTCTTGGCAGGAGCGGATGCGGATTGATCTCAATCAGGCTTCACGCTGGGTCACGCGAGCAGTCCCTCCTGCACTCCATGTTGATGGTGACTGGACGGCGCCCCTGTCGCCTCAAGAAAAGTTGGATGAGGCCCACGGCTTTTGGTCCAGATGGTGGGGTAAAGATGGGCATTATGATCGTGAGGCCACTGCTAATCTGCTCCATTCTCATCTCGCCCCTGCCCCTCCTTGTGATGATGCGGTGCTTGAGCTTACTGTTGACGAACTGATGGCGGTGATTCGCAAGCAGCGCCGTCGTGCTACTGGCATGGACGGTTGGGCGGCGAAGCAACTTGCTTGTCTGCCCAGTCCTTTCTGGCATTGCATTCTGCGCATGTGGACTGCTATGCTGCGTCATGGTACTGTGCCTACTGTTTGGAAGGATGTCAAGGTCACGTTAATTCCTAAAACGGATGGCTCGCATAGGCCTCTAGCCATCAGTTGCGTTCTTTGGCGGACTCTTGCCTCTGCTACTTGTCGACGGCTTCGGGAATGGGTTGTGGCCACGTTTCCTGATGAGATTCAAGGCGGTGTGACAGGGAGGGGCATCCATGGCGTTCACGACCACTTGTTATCTGACTTGGCCGGTGCCTTTGGTGGGCGGCGGGCTTTGATGGGCATTAAGACTGACATCCGCAAGTTTTTCGACAGCCTACGCCCGGCTCAGACCCTTGATGCTGCGGTGCATTTGGGGATGCCTCCTTCTTTGGCATCTGTCATTCGGGACTTTTATCGTGGTCAGCAGCGTTACTTGGTGGTTGATCGCGTGGTGCATCCTACGCCTATTGCTGTGCATACCGGTCTGCAGCAAGGTTGCCCTTTTTCAGTGGCCCTTTCTAATTGTGTCATGGTGTTCTGGCTGCACACCATCAAAAGGGTTTCGCCGACTGTCTCAATCCGGCTTTTCATCGATGACCGCACATGTTGGGACAATTCGGTGGAGGCAGTCAGTGCCTTGCAACGTGCAGCGAAGGCAGGGAGTGAGGTGGACGCTCATTTCAATGTGAAGGTTCATCCTGGCAAAGTTGCTGCTTTTGCTACTTCGGCGGCTGCTCGGCGAGCTTTGAGTGAATGCTCGCATGACTTAGGTCCCGTTTCGGATTCTTTCAGGTTGTTAGGCGTCTCTTACGCTATGAAAAAGGGGCGGGTTGCACCTGACGATGCGGAGCTTACCAAGCTTGTGCAGGTCAGGTGTGAACGGGTGGCCAAGGCGTGCAAGCATCTCAGAATGCGAGTTGCGTTACTTCATAGTGTGGTGGTCTCCGCGTTGACCTGGGCGGCTTGTTGGCAACAGCACAGGGTTCACACGAGGCAACGGTGGCAGAGTCACATCGAGAGGGCGCTGTGGGCAGGCAAAGTGGCTTCGCGCCGCTCGCGCTTGCTTTCACGCACTGTCATTGGCGGCCCCAAGTTGGATCTGGAGTTTGCGGAGGCGGTCGTTCTTCTGCGACTTGAGTGGAAAAGGCGGGCACTTCAGCTACAAGATGTTCCGGTTCGGCCGCCCCCTCGTGGTTGGAGCAAACTTTGTGAAAAATGGGGTTGGAGTGAAGGGCCTGATTCTCAGATCTGTACTTTGATTGGGCTCTTCTCCCCGCGGTGGCACACCATTGGTTCATTGCTGATGGCGGCGGAGCATGCTTGGCAGCAGGACCTTTGGAATCAGGAAAGTCGCACAGCTTTTGAGGGACCGCTTGGAAGGCGGGCTCTTGTTTTGGAGGAGCACAAAAGCGTTGCCAGCGTCTCCAATCGCACTGCATTCCGCGCGGCCACGGCCTCCGCGATTGACGGTGCTTTCCTCAAGTACATTGGAGTCCCTTCCGCTTGTGATTGCGGTGTGCAAGCGCCCACGGCTGAACATCTGACTTTCTACTGCACTGGTGCCCCACCTGAGCTCGAGCGGGGGCGCACTGCGGCAGAACGAAAGCTGATGTTGCGTGCTATCCCTTTCAGAGTGGTACCTGGCAACATGGAGTTGACGCTTGACGATGAGCTGCTTCAAGTGCTTCACCATGCTGCGCGGAGCAAACAGCCGATTCTTTGTGCCACTGATGGGGGTTGCCTGATTAAAGCAGGTATGGAACGTTGGCAGAGAGCGGCCTGGGCGGTTGCTGTCAAGGTTGGTGGGGTAGAGGCTGTTGTCTCGGGTTTGCTTCCGGGGCCTGAGCAGACACCAGCTGCTGCCGAGAGAATGGGCTTGGCTGTGTTGGGCCATCATGCTGCTGGTTCTTGCGTGACGGGTTGGGTTTTTGCAGACAATGCTGCTGCGGTCCGGCGGTTGAGACGAAGCAGGAATGATGACTGCTCAGGTCCACTGTCTTTGTTCTGGAAGTGCACTGCGCAGGGACTGCGAGGCCTGCAAGCCCATTGGGTGCCTAGCCATGGCAAATGCCCTGCCTGGCGAGCGCCTGATGGCTGCGATTCTTGGGAGGTGAGACGCCTCAACAGCATTGCTGATAATGCTTGCTCTAGGCAGTTAAAATGCATTGAGCGACAGTGGCTGCGTGATGTACAGACCTTTCAAGAGGCCACTGCTTGGACGAGGACTGCTCTACAGCGTTCCATGGTTGTTTCGATGCCTTACTCGGACCATGCTGCAGAGCATTATGGGCGGTTTCGGGCTCAGTTTGCGTTGTGACCTGTGTTCTGCATGGTGGCGTACCATTCCGCGATTGGCGACTCAGCTCCCTTTTTCTGCATTTTTCGAGCTTTGCAAGCGGATCATGGCAACGAGCTGCTGATGACTGCTCGTCTATGGCGGCTTTTTGCCTTTGACTAGGTGGCGCCTTTTCTTGACGTCTAACCGCACTTCTTCTACTTACAGCACAGGTTGGCGTCCTACCATTACAATTACAATTACAATTAC